ATGTCTATTATTCTATATGTCTATAATGTCTATAAGTCTATACTTTACATGGACCCAGAGAAGCAGCTTTACACACCTTCAAGATAGTGGACATTTCTGCTGCTGGGCTAGAGATGTATGGAGACATCTAAGGCTCTTCTTTGGACACGACAACAACAGAAAATTGACATGGACCCAGAGCAGCAGCTTTACACACCCAAGATAGTGGATATTGCTGCTGCTGTGATAGAGATGTATGGAGCCATCTGAGGCTCTTCATTGGACACAACAACAACAACAACTATGTCTATATGTATATAAGCAAACAAGGGAGTGAATGGAATACAATGGCTCACATATATGATAGATATAACACTCGTATGTGCATATTTACTTGTAGATATATAAAGGGAGAGTGTGACACCGAAGTATGACACCTCGACGACACCAAGGAATGTCACGGGGGAACGACACCTTCCCAATTAACCGCCCATGTTGATGTAGACAGCTGTCCAAGCCAGACCACTGCGGTTTAATGGGTTTTTACCCCGTGTACTTGCTAGCTACTGCATAAAATAATTTATTGGCTTCTTCCAACCATCTAGCATAGAGCTCTTTTTTTGTCTTAAGTCCATACTGTGGAGATATACAAGTATACTTCGAAAACAAAACTCTATTAGTGACACTTTTATCTTCTCTTTTTCTAAAGAGGATATAAAAAAGATTTTTTAAAATACAATTTTAATAAAAGTTGTGACTTTAAAAACACTATTTTCTTTATTCTTTAAAAATTTCGGATATCTTCTTCAGATGCTTGAGTTTTTTTTTTTTTAATTAAGAACAAACAAAGAAAATCTTTAAGAGCGAATATCTATTTTTCAAATTAAACTAATTTTGTATTGCCCTTACTGCGATGAAATATAGTGTGAGGGGGGTTCACTAATTAAAGGTGAACGCTCCACGCTTTTCCGATAATTTTGATTGGAATAAGGATAGTAGAAATTTATTTTATTTGAAAAAGAGAGAATACACAAAGATTACGCAAAAGGTGTGATATTAAGTATATATTGTTGCACCAAGTTGCAGCTTTGCAGGGTCGTTGACCTTGGTTTCTTCCTTCTTGGTATTATACACATTTCCCGAGCGGGTTTCCATATTCAAAGCAAATAAATAAAAGTAAAAGTAAATAAATGAAATTAAATAAAAATAAATTACCTTTCAACGTTATTGTGTTTATTTATTCGTGGTCTTCCTCGTAGGTCGTGATCCGCAGTCTTCGTCCAGTTCCTCTCTCGCTCCCATAACCAATCAAGATATGTACAAATAAAATATACAAGTATCAGAGCCATCAATCAATTCTTAATTTTGTCACCGTTTGCTTTTGTGAATGGAATAAATACCCAAATATGACCATTTCTTATAAGCATCGGTAGTGTTCAGTGGTAAAATACTCGCCTGCCACGCGGGGTTTCGATTCCCGGCCGATGCATTTTTTTTCTTTTTTTTACAATTTTTAAAACTCATTTATATATTATACAAGAATGACATCCACGGCGCCAATTTATAATTGTAACGAATAGTATTTGAATAAAAGCATTTAATTGGGAAAAAACCCGGGCGTTGCCCGGGCCATTCGGCTAGTAAATATTACAAAAGGAATGAAACTATAAAAAGGAATGATGATAATCTAAATATTCTGTTTTAAATAAATATTAAATATCATAGAATATTTTGAATAAATGTAAGGCGCATTAAAATTGATGTAACAATATATACACTACTAATTTATATGAAATATAAAACACTAGTAGGTGTATATTGACAATGTGTATATATATATGACATAATGAAAATATGATTTTTATTATCTCTCTATATATAAAAGTCAATGTCTGTCTGTTTCGCGATAAACTCAAAACTACTGAACCAATTGGTACCAAATTTTGCATGTCGCTTTTTATAAACCTGAGAATAATTTTCGGCTAAATTTTGATTAGTATTTTTGGCTATTTCTTTTTTTCATATTTGAAGAACTTTTTTTTTACGCGGAGTAAATACGAGGCGAAGTAACAACACGAGGCCAATTAAACGACCAATGAGCGTTCTGCATTTCTTTTCAAGTTGCTTGCGTACTTTTTTTAAAATATCTTTTTATACGAGTGTCACTTTTTTTACAAAAGTATTGAGAGAGAAATTCATATTACTAAGTTACGGTAAGTGCACACAATGCAATTAAAAAAAACTTTACAAAATTAGCGTTACTGTATGTGAACAATGGCTTTCGTATTTTTTATTAATTATTGTTCTGGCCTTTGTTTTTTTATATAATAAATAAAAGTTACAGTCAATATGATAATTCTTAAAATTAAACAAACAATAGTCAATATGCAAAAAATGCAAACTAACTTAATAAAATATTCTTATATCAAGCAATATGCAAAATCTCTCCTAATATTTAAATGTACATATTATTAGCATCTTAACGCCGTTTATTCGTTTTTATGTACTCCTGCAGGAAGGCAGAAATACTCGAAAGTTCGATATTGTTTTAATAAAGTGTAAAGAATCTCCAGAACTATTTTTTGCGCGTCAGTAAATATGAGGCGAAGTGACAACACCAGGCGAATTAACCGACCATTGAGCGTTCTGCATATTTTCCAAATCGCTTGCCCAACTTTTTTTTTTTTTTTTTAATATCTTTTTATAAGAGTGTTACTTTTTTTACAAAAGTATTTAGTATTAAGCATTGAGATAGAAATTCGTACTCGGGGGAATTCCCGGGCGAAGCCGGGTCATTCGTCTAGTTCATAATATAATTAAAACTCTAGAACACACACAAAATAATTACATAACCATAATATTTATTAAAATTGTTTTCCTAATATAACTGAAATTATAATTTAAATAATAAAATTAAAAATAAGAACTAAACACAGAGTTAATTTTTAAAATGTAAAGGAATGCCAAACAAAAAGAATATAACCTATTTTGCCATTTTTTAAATATAATAATAACATTGTTGGGGATTGTCTTTGTTTGTAAAACTGTTTGCTTTAAGAAATAATGAAAATAAATATAATTTAAGACATAAAAGGTTATTAGATATAGAATATTCTTCTTAGCAACATTTGTAGCGATTAACAAAATGAAAGAAGGCAAGTTTCTTTAATTATTTCGACGACGCAAGCTTTCGGGCAAAAGCCCTTCAACAGACAAGATAAAACTACACTATAGTGTACACACTGATAGTGTAGTTTTATCTTGCCTTTTCAAGGGCTTTTGCCCGAAAGCTTGCGTCGTCGAAATAATTAAAGAAACTTGTCTTCTTTCATTTTGGTAATCGCTACATAAAAGGTTATTATTCATATTTTCTTTTTATCCACGACTGCATGAAAGGTAACGTAACTAGAATATACGTTTTTTTATGACATATATACATATGTGTGAACAAGGTAGAAGGAACACAATGTCTCACATAAATGATAGATATAGCAGTAGTGTGTTTATATTGTCTATACGTATGTTTATATAAGTGAACAAAATAAATGTAACACAAATATTTACTCACAAAATGATAGCTAAAGCACTAGTATGTGTATATTAACTATGTCTATATGTATGTATGTGTGAACAAAGTACATGTAACACAATTAATTACTAACATATATGATAGACAAAGTACAGTTAAGTGTATAATGTCCTATGTGTTTTTATAAGCCGAAAAGATCCGAAGAACTCCGACAATTGCTAACATCTATACTAGATGTGGCGTAGTATCTGTGTGTATATAGAGTGGAGAAATGACCACCAGCAGTGTCTCAACCTCTCCAACACGACAGTAATTAAGAAGATACCCGAGGCCTCTCTGTATTTATCTTTACAAAATGGATTGCCTACTCTCGGAGAGGCCCTGGGCGCTGTGCCCGAGGCCTGAAACCTATTAGGATCGATTGGGTAAATGAAGGAAAAGTCGTTAGGCCTCATTAACCCGACCTGACTATCATCAGCCTATTGTGGTTGACCATTGCACTCTGTGTTTGGTTCGTTCCATTTATCTCTCTAATGGATGTGTTATCTTCGGTACTGCCATATACTTACTGCGCTACATTCAACCTCTTAACTCTTACTCTGTTATACATTCAACCTCTAATCTCTTACTGTTCTACAGATTCAACTTCTTAGCTACATTCAACTCTTTAACCACTGCGCTACATTCAACCTCTTAGCCCTTACTGTGCTACACATTCAACCTCTTAGCCCTTACTGTGCTACACATTCAACCTCTTAGCCCTTACTGTGCTACACATTCAACCTCTTAGCTCTTACTGCGCTACACATTCAACCTCTTAGCTCTTACTGTGCTACACATTCAACCTCTTAGCTCTTACTGTGCTACACATTCAACCTCTTAGCTCTCACTGTGCTACACATTCAACCTCTTAGCTCTCACTGCGCTACACATTCAACCTCTTAGCTCTTACTGTGCTACACATTCAACCTCTTAGCTCTCACTGTGCTACACATTCAACCTCTTAGCTCTTACTGTGCTACACATTCAACCTCTTAGCCCTTACTGTGCTACACATTCAACCTCTTAGCTCTTACTGCGCTACACATTCAACCTCTTAGCTCTTACTGTGCTACACATTCAACCTCTTAACTCTTACTGCGCTGCACATTCAACCTCTAAGCTCTTACTGTGCTACACATTCAACCTCTTAGCTCTTACTGTGCTACACATTCAACCTCTTATCTCTTACTGTGCTACACATTCAACCTCTTAACTCTTACTGCGCTACACATTCAACCTCTTAGCTCTTACAGCGCTACACATTCAACCTCTTAGCTCTTACTGTGCTACACATTCAACCTCTTAGCTCTTACTGTGCTACACATTCAACCTCTTAACTCTTACTGCGCTACACATTCAACCTCTTAGCTGCATTTAACTATTTAACCACTGCGCTACATTCAAACTCTAAACTCTTACTGTTCTACACATTCAATCTCTTAGCTCTTACTGTTCTACACATTCAACCTCTTAGTTCTTAATTCGCTACATTCAACCTCTTAGCTCTTACTGTGCTACACATTCAATCTCTATGCTCTTACAGTTCTACACATTCAACCTCTTAGCTACATTCAACTCTTTCACCACTGCGCTACATTCAAACTCTAAACTCTTACTGTTCTACACATTCAATCTCCTAGCTCTTACTGTTCTACACATTCAACCTCTTAGTTCTTACTGCGCTACACATTCAACCTCTTAGCTACATTCAACTATTTAACCACTGCGCTACATTCAACCTCTTAGCTCTTACTGTTCTACACATTCAACCTCTTAGCTACATTCAACTCTTTAACCACTGCGCTACATTCAATCCCTTAGCTCTTACTGTTCTACACATTCAACCTTTCAACTTACTACACTACATTCAACCTCTTAGCTACATTCAACTCTTTAACCACTGCGCTACATTCAATCCCTTAGCTCTTACTGTTCTACACATTCAACCTCTTAGCTACATTCAACTCTTTAACCACTGCGCTACATTCAATCCCTTAGCTCTTACTGTTCTACACATTCAACCTTCCAACTTACTGCACTACATTAAACTTCTTAAATCTTACTGTTCTACACATTCAACCTCTAAGCTCTTACCGTGCTACACACTCAACCTCTTAGTTCTTAATGCTCTACATTCAACCTCTTAACCCTTACTGCGTTACACATTCAACTCTTTAATTACTGCACTACATTTAACCCCTCAACTTACTGAACTATATACCGACTTCATGTACTTACTGTCCTATACTAACCCTCTTATATTACTGCACTACATTTAACTTTTTAACATACTGCACTACATTCCGACTCGGTTTTGCAGGTAACATACTTAGTGTCATGTTTTCTATACACTAAAACATAATTTTTTCCTTTATTCTGTACATTAGGCAACCTTTGCACAGGTATTCGAGTTGGGCACAGTTTATACCCTCCATTTGTTCCAGTATAAAATTGTAAAAGTAAACTCTTATGGACAAAACTTAAGAAAGTTGTACCTTTTAGCATGTATATCCGGATTTTCAGGCAAAAACTTGGAAAGATATTTGATACACAGTGACATTTGAAGACGAACGAGATAACTAAGTGTGAATAAAATTGCCTCTATTTCCTTAAAAAAAAAACAGACCACCTGCGACTACAAACACTTTCCACTTCCCTAAGTTTTGTCCATGAATGTATATAGGTGAATAGATTGTGACACTCAGAAACGCCGCTGTACATACACCTGTGAACGTATTTTGAGCAAACACATTTTTTTGCGAAGCATTAAAAACTTCGCTTTGAGACCTAAAATAAAATCTCAGCTTTTTGCTAACGCATCTTGAGATCCATTTAAGTGTTTTCAAATTGTAAATTCTGTTTTTAAAGCCGTAGTGTTTAGAGTCTCATGGACAAAACTTGAGGAGTTTGCTTGAATA